GTGTACTACTTTACCTAAACATTATTTATTATATAGCAGAAATATATCTTGCAGCTTCTCAGCTCCGGTTGATAGTGGTAGGATGGCATTCATGGGCATGAGGAATGCCAGTATTATTCCTCTGCTGGAATGGAAGAGGGAAATTCTCAGAGAAAGGCTGGTTAAGGAGAAGCCACCTACTTTCCAGAAGGTTGACCAGGTCCCACTTAAAAGTCAAACATGTATGGTAAAAGTCAACTGAACAGCAACATTGCTGGAGGAAGCTAATCTCAATAATAGAGCCACAAATTTCACTTTGCTAATTCCCCACAAAGTCCTTGAAAATGTTGTCTTTATTTGATCCTGATGTGCAATCATCCAATTCTGAAAAGCCAAACTTGTCCAAAATTGAATAATTTAGGGAAGTTTAGATTTCCAGAATCGGGTGATTGCTTTTTACATAATCGTTAAAAAAAACAAATAGAAAACCTGAGAAATTAAAATAAAACTGTAATTGTACATTGTTTTATTGCCTATTGCCAAGAGATTCTTAGTATTGGCATTCCTCACTCCCGCAGTCAACTTAGCTTGTCACAGTCAAACTACAACTGATACTGACACTGTGTGCTTCTATTAAAATCCAGTTAAAAGCTTCTACCCAATATTTATAAAATAATTTTTAAAATTATCAGATGGAACTCATATACATGCAGTCTCCTGTGTCACCATCTCACCGACAGTCTTCAGTGGGAGATGAAGATAGAATGATGTGTCCTTACTTCCCTCGTTGATTGACCTGTTATGACCTATAGAATAGTTTCTAGTAGAGGTAGAATGGAGTGAATGTTTGGAATATTATATCTGAGATGCTAAGATTGCCTTTTTTAGAGCTTGCCTCATAGTGGCAGGATAGTACTAAGAGTGTGATGAATGCTGGATCAATCTACAGTATCTTCTTAGGTTTTTTCCCCAGGCTTGTTACTAATTTTGCTTTGGGGGTGAAATTTATATAATTTTATTAATTTATTAGTTATTCCAATTGAGTAGCTGAGTTATCATGTTTCAATTTATCTATTAATAATTATTCCTTGGGTGATTATATTATATTATATTATATTATATTATATTATATTATATTATATTATATTATATTATTATATTATATTATATTATATTATATTATATTATATTATATTATATTTTAATTATCTTGGTTACTCAAATACAATTGAATTAGTTAGATACATCTTCTTTTAAGTTGTCTTAATTACATTGGTTATTTTATTAATTCTACATTGTTCATGGTCCTAATTATATTAGTAATTTTATTAACGTTGCACTGTTGTGTCTGGGGCAGTTCCAGTGTATTCATTTTATGGTTATTAGTGTCTTTCTTTATAATACCTTGATATCATGCCGCTTTACTATTCCCTGATGAGTAGATTGAGTCAGTAATTTTAGGAAATAGGTTATGTGGTCTTCTGCTATTTCACAAAATGCTTTAATAGCAATTAGAATGTAATCTAATTGATAAACTTATTTTTAATTGCTTGTTATAGATTATCTGCTGTTTTTAAAAAGGGTTAGTCTTTTTCTGATTATCTACTTGAGTAATCTATTTGCTGTTATCATTGAAAGTTAATTAACCCCTGAAGATACAATCTGTGTAATCCTTTTCCAAGGTGAATTCCAACTAGTCCAGGTTCCCAGACATTTAGGTGGGATAATGGTGTGGTTTTATTACTTAACAGTGCATATACATTTGTCTCCATATCTTCAGCAATTATTGATAATTCTTTTGTATTTGTATTTGTTGAAATGCAATTCCCATTTCATTGCTTAAATGCAATTATATATTGTCCATCTCCCCCTAGCTCTAGGAGTCAATTTTCTCCCCTTTACTAGAGTTAGATATTCCATTACTCCTAATTAGGGATTTCAGGATTATAATTTTCATAACAATGTTTATTCATTATTAGTTTATTTTTATGTGAAGTTATTAGGTCAACACATTCTCAGAAACATCCTCAATTTGATCTAGAAGAGAGTTGCACGGGTCCTGCATTTCAAGATTTATATATAAAAAAACCCAATTTGATTGTTTTTTTTCTTCAATGTATACCCTTCCATTTTAACTTAGTTTTTTTTATTAACTAGAACACTCTATTAGCTCTTTTTCTGATATCACATTGGCTACTTCTTTATTGACTTCATCTGAATCTAAATCTCCTGAGAAATTGACCAAGGCATTTAACTTGCTATTTGAGCTACACTTGACCTTTTGGCTCCAGCCTTTGAAAAGTTAGTCCTGAAATAGAGTCATCTATGGCTGCCTCTGGATCTAGGGAGCATATAAACTCATGTTCATAAACTAGAATGAAAGCACAGAAAGGATTTGTTCAGCAGCAATGAGGATTCCTTTCATACAGCAATTACCAATTTCTTTGCATTGCCGGAACAAGTCAAGTGTTCCTGAAATTTAATTTCCACTGAAGCCAAGTCTGCTGGATAGCTTTTTGCTATGTTTGAATATCTGTTATCTTAATCTTTGCCCATGGTTGCTACCAAAAGTTTCTCTTGACTTATACATTATCTGAGGACTTTTGAAAATGGTTTTTGTCTAAATTGAAACACTCCAGGCTTCCATCTCTAGGCAAGACATGATTCTGTGACTCTAAGTTGTTTATCTATTTTTTCATTTTCTTCAGTTACTAAAACTGTGGTAGCCGAAGTAATTTCAGAACTTCCCAATAGTGATGCCCTTCATTCCAATTATCTTTTTTATTTGCATAATTTTATTGGATTATTATAAAACATAAGTAATATAAGAAAATAAATATTATTTAAGTACAATAGTATTTATATAATATTGATTAGAAATTATTAACATTCTAATATTTAAAAACTTGAACCTTCACACAAGTTTTTATCAATATTAACTACGTTTGTGAATATGTCAGTGTTGATAAGCCTAGACATTTAAATTTTGCATACAAAGGTAAATTCCGCATTAATAAACAATTGCAAAATATATTAACATACTTCAAGATTTCTGTCTTAAGCTTAGTACTTAATACTAAAATCTCCATTGTATTCTTATTATTGTCATGTTAAACAAAACAAAATAAACAACTAAAACAGCAAAAAGAAAAAGTACACATAAGTGAATCACTTTCCAACTTCCCCTTTTTGTGGCTCTAACAACTTCTGTTGTTTAGGCCTCACGTCCGACAGATTTTTCCATCAAGTTCTATAATGTGAAACCAACTTTTAGGGGTTTCAAAAAAGTAAAGCTTGTTTTTTTCAGATGCAAGAATAATTATTTCTAGTTGCAATATCCAACAGTTTAAATTATGCTTGTTAAATGTATTGTTTTATACACACACACACGCGCGCATAGTAATTTTATTGTTCTTTGTTTATACAATATTTGGGTATAAAACATACTAAAAATACTAAATAATAATTAAGGAAAATAATTGCCTCTGACCAAAATATTTTTTTTCTTAAAAAATAAATTTCAGTAGTTTGGCAACTCTTCATAAGCCACATAAAACTGTGATTGTTTGAACCATGATTTAGTGAATAAACCAGCATAGTGATTATTATTTTCTGGTGATTATTTTTTGGCCAGTTGCTAGTTAGTTTTCTCTCCTTTTAGTTCTAAAATATTCAGAGGTTAGGAGAAAGATATAAACACAGATGTATCCTAGGAAAAAGACAAGCAACTATGAATATGTCACGTCTTGCAACTCATACATCCACAAGCTATAATGCTTGTGATCAGTAAGCCCATGAGAAATAATGGGCGCATATTACATTACCACAAGACAAGCTCTAGTTTACTCATGAATCCGATTCACATATGATTCTGACTCAACAACAAATAAAGCACTGAATGGTTTAAGTAGACATCCTACATCTGAGCTGCACCAATCAGGAAGATCTTTATATTGCAGCCATGAAATATAGAAAACTGTACCTCTTTGTTGCCATGCAGCACCTGTCCTGATTTTTGGAACCCAGGTACGGTAGACCTTGGTACAGGGCAAACTGTATCTTTTTGCTGGATATAGTACAAGCAAATTACTCTCTCTCTTGTGAAGCAAACTTTGCTTCCCTCCTATATTTTCTCTTTGTAAATAGCTACATTATATGTGCCAAGATTTGTATCTGTAATATGTACAATATGTTAAGGCTTGCTTATTAGACTCAGAGTAATATCAATTATGATTAATATACATATTTAGGAACATGTGATATATTTGGCAGAAGGACCTCTGCTTTACTTATATACACAAATGCCAATTCCCTTTTCTCTTAATGTGATTGAGCTGTTATTACTGTACATTCTGGAACAGTGATGGCATGAAACAATGTTGTTGGGTTTTTTGCTTTGAACTTCTTCCAGTTACATTGGATCTTTAGAATCGAAATACATTCCCCAATCACTTACTGTTAAATTACTTTATATGCGTCCAATATTTCTCTTTGACTATCTCTAAACTAAACTACTACTTTTTACTAATTTCTCACATCAATTCATTGTCCCTGGTCTACACGTAGGTTACCTGTATACATACCTGTTTTAAATAATAAATGTTTTAGTTATGCTGTTAATTTAGCTAAATTCTGGGTTAGCCTTTTAATCTTTGACCTTCCCTAAGTATATAGATCAACTCCCACAATTCTCAACAATGGCCATGCAGGTTGGAAATGCTGAGGCTGCAATCATACAACTTATTTAACTAGAATTAACCCAATAAATTAAGCAAGCAGATTGAGTTCTTGGGAACCCATGTTTGCCAGACAAGCAAACAAACAAGCCAAGGTTATAATTAACCAAGTTTAACACTTTGTGCAAATTGTCTTACCTACTAGGTAAAGTAAGCGATGCAAAAGGAGCCTATAAATTGGGCTGCACATCTGGTGGACACCTAGATTGAGAAAAGATGTTCACTCACAGTATTCTAGTGACATCAAGATCATTCCTCTAGTTCTAGCGTAAACCAGGCTGATTGCCCAAAACAAAGCAAATTAATCCTCTTACGCTTGCCTTAGTATGACAGAAGGATCACTGAATTAACTCTACATAACTGTTCTTATGAGATCCTTTCCTTTTTCAGGTTGGTTTATTTTTCTCTACTCTACTATACTCTTCAGCATGTCAGAAAAGGTATGCTCAGTACTTGTATACATTGGGTTTTTCTTTCCTGTCCATGGAAAGTGGAAAAGTGGTTTTCTGATTCTTCTTTTGCTTTGAATATTGATCCTGAAAGGTGGAGACCCTGTAGAAATGTGTCACAACTTTTGTGGAGATGGAGTGTTGCACATGGTTTTGGTGCTACTTGCTTTAAGAAAGTGTTACTTTCTTGATGAATGTATTGTTTTTTCTTTTTAGGTACACTGAGAGCATATGCACCAAAGACAAATTCCTTGTGTGTCCAATCACACTTGGCCAATAAAGAATTCTATCTATCTCTATCATATTGATGTTTCTTCCTATACAATTTACCTATAAGATAGAAATATTATATTAGCTACTCACAATGTTTATTTATTTATTATTTATTTATTAATAAAATTTATATGCCGCTCTATCTCCGGAGACTCAGGGCGGCTCACAACAATAAAACAATCAGTTAAAATAATAAAATACATAATGTACGTATGTATATAAGTTATATTAAAACCCCCAAACTCTAAAAACCCTCTCAGTCCAGGCTGGGCGATGTAAACAACCATGTTTTTAATTCGCGGCAGAAGGTGCGAAGGTCAGGGGCCAACCGGAGCCCCAGGGGGAGTTGATTCCAGAGGGTGGGCGTGCCCACAGAGAAAGCTCTACCCCTAGGTGTCGCCAGCTGACACTGTCTAGCCGACGGCACCCAGAGCAGGCCCTCCCTGTGAGAACGCACCGGGCAATGGGCGGCTGTTGCTGGCAGCAGATGGTCCGCCAAATATCCTGGGCCTAAGCCATGTAGGGCTTTATAGGTCATCACCAGCACCTTGAATCTCACCTGGAGGGCAACCGGCAACCAATGCAAGTTGCGCAGGAGGAGTGTAACATGGGAGTATCAGGACTCTCCCATCACAACCCGCGCGGCCGCATTCTGTACCAGTTGAAGCCTCCGAGTGGTCCTCAAGGGCAGCCCCATGTAGAGAGCATTACAGTAGTCAACACAGGAGGTAACTAGCGCATGAGTAACTGTGCGTAGGGCATCTCGGTCCAAATAGGGGCGCAACTGGCGGACCAGACGAATCTGGGCATATGTCCCCCTGGTCACGGCTGTTATATGATCTTCTAAACTCAGCCATGAATCCAGGAGGACACCCAAGTTGCGCGCCCTGTCTGCAGGGGGCAAAATTTCACCCCCTATAGCCAGCGATGGAATCTCACCTTCGAACCGAGATGCCCGTATCCACAGCCACTCATTCTGGGCAGGGTTGAGCCGAAACCTGTTCCTCCCCACCCAGATCCGTACCGCTTCCAGGCACCGGGACATCACATCGAGGGCATCACTGGGCTGGTTCGGGGTGGACATAAAAAGCTGGGTATCATCAGCGTACTGATGATACCGTACCCTGAAACCATAGATGATCTCCCCCAGCAGTTTCATATAAATGTTGAACAGAAGGGGTGAGAGAACTGACCCCTGAGGCACCCCACAATTGAGGGGCCTCATGGTCAATCTCTGCCCTCCTGCCAACACAGCTTGTGTCCGACCCGAGAGGTAAGAGGAGAACGACCGTAAAACGGTGCCTCCCACTCCCAACCCTTCGAGGCGCCGCAGCAGGATACCATGGTCGATGGTATCAAAAGCCGCTGAAAGATCTAATAGGACCAGAACAGAGGAATGACCTCTGTCCTGAGCCCTCCAGAGATCATCCACCAGTGCGACCAATGCCGTCTCCATGCTGTATCCGGGCCTGAACCCGATTGGTACGGATCGAGGTACTCTGCTTCATCCAGGGCCACTGGGAGCTGACGTGCCACCACAATCTCGACAACCTTCGCAAGAAAGTGAAGGTTGGAGACCGGACGAAAGTTGCTCAAAATAGCTGGATCCAGGGCAGGCTTCTTGAGGAGGGGCCTCACCACCGCCTCCTTCAAGGCAGCAGGAAAGCTTCCCTCCTCTAAAGAAGCAGCTATCACTGCCTGGATCCAGCTGCGTGTCACCTCCCAAGCTGAATAAACCAGCCAGGAGAGGCACGGGTCCAGTACACATGTGGCCGCACTCAACTTCCCCATGATCCTGTCCACTTTCTCTGGGGTAACAGGATCGAACTCTTCTCAAAGCACAAGACCCGCCGCTTCCTCACCGTCTGACCCTGTCCAGTCAGAGTCCAAGCCGTCCCGAATCTGAGCGATCTTGTCCTGCAGATACTGGCCAAACTCCTCAGCTCACCCTCACATCGGGTCTTCCCCCGCCCTCTGATTCGAGAGGGAGCGGGACACCCGAAACAGGGTGGCCGGGCGATTCTCTGCAGACGCGATGACATCGGAGAAATAGCGACGTTTCGCCATCGCCAATTCCACCAAATTGGCCCGAGTAAATGATCTCAATTGTGACCGGTCAGATTCGGAACGACTGGCCCTCCAACTGCTCTCCAGGCCTCTCCTACGTGATTATCAAAAGTTTTTTCCTGCATGGCATTGGCTAATTTGGAAGCAGATGAGATGTTCAAGATAGCTGGGATCATTTTAATGATATTATATTTGCATGTATAACCAACAATGTCAGCTCATTGTTCTTTCTCACAGCACCTTGAGAGTGTGCTTGAAGTATTGGTTTTGCAGCTTAATCATTTTGTTTTGGCAAGATCATTAATGAAGATGTGGACCAGGGCTTACTGAAGATCACTAGACCATCCAGCTATTTATCCATCTCCAAGAAATATAATCAGCATCTTATTCCTACTGCATGCTGGGCGTATATTCCTACTTACATGTTGCCTCTGATACAGTATCTTTAAATAGTATGTTTTTTCTTGAGGAAAGATGATTTATTAAATGTTCTAATTCTGGCATAGGTCCTTGTTCTTTTATTTTTCAGTAGCATGTGTGGGTGGCAGTGGTGGTGGGGATTTCTCACCAAGTTGTGGAATTTGACAATGTTATGATTATTATTTCCTAGCAGTTCTGCTATTTATATTTATCGATCCCATCTCTCAGCTTTACATAGAATTAATACTCCTTGCCTGAATCCAAGAATTCGGAGGTCTAGGGAGCCATATTTTATTATTCTAAGAAGTGTTCTTTTCTGTGCAGCATTTTCTGCTCAATCAATATAAAAAAACAATGGATTCCTATATAATAACCATAGGTTATAATAACCAAAAACATAATATTTAAGGAAATAGAGAAGGCTTCAATCCAGAGTTCAGCAAGAAAGAAAACCAAGAGCTATGAGGCTGGAGCTGCAGAAATCTGGATGACATCTGGTAATAGTCCAGATGTCTGCAGCTTAGATTGGTAGTCTAAGAAAGTAGACTTGTGTTTTGATATTGTTAAAAACAAAGTTTCTTTGACTAGGAATATATCAAAAGTTAAGATACAGATAGAATTACTCTGATTGTAAAAGTAGCCATGCATATTGCACTAAACCAAAGACAACACCCCCCAAATTTGAGGACTAGCGGATTCGGAGGTAGAGTGCTTTCACAGAATGGTTACCATAGGAAGTCTGGTGAATAAAATAAAACATCAGTTTATTAAAAAACACTGGTGAGGTTGCTGCTTAGAAGCACTGGGTCATTCTTTATTATATCTTCTTTTGGGGCTCTTTTTTTCTAGGCAAGCGGTAACACTTTCAAACAAATTATTTGATGGCTGCCCACTCCCACTCATTTTTATTTTTCATATTTTTTAGTTTTATTGTTTTAGTTTTATTGAATTTTTATAACGCCCTACTCCCGAAGGACTCAGGGTGGTGAACAGCCATAAAATAAAACAATATAAATACAAAATTTAAAATAGAATAAAACGAATTAAATAATTTGACTGAATTTAAAACCCCAATACTTTAAAACCAAATTTAAAATTTCCATTTAAAAAGGGGAAAGACTTAGGTCAGGCCAGCCTGATGAAACAAGAAAGTCTTGAGCGCGCGACGGAAGGTACGCAGATCCGGGATCCTCCGTATCTCCGGGGGGAGCTCGTTCCAGATAGTAGGTGCCCTCACAGAGAAGGCTCTCCCCCTGGGGGCCGCCAGTCGACATTGTTTTGCCGACAGCACCCGGGGGAGTCCCTCTCTATGGGAGCGTACTGGTCGGTGGCAGGCTATTGGTGGTAGCAGGCGGTCCCGTAAATAGCCAGGTCCTAAGCCATGGAGCGCTCTAAAGGTGATAACCAAAACCTTGAAGTGCACTCGGAAGACCACCGGGAGCCAGTGCAGCTCGCGCAGGAGAGGTGTTACATGGGAGCGCCACGTCGCTCCCATCACCACCCGCGCGGCCGCACTCTGTGCCAGTTGGAGCCTCCGAGTGCTCCTCAGGGGAGCCCCATGTAGAGAGTGTTACAATAGTCCAGACGGGAAGTGACGAGGGCGTGAGTGATCGTGCGTAAGGAGTCCCGATCTAGAAAGGGACGCAACTGGCGGATCAGGCGAACCTAATGAAAAATCCTCCCGGCCACGGCCGTCAAGTGCTTTTCTAAAGACAGCCGTGAATCCAGGAGGACACCCAAGTTGCGAGCTCTTTCCGTGGGGGCCAATGATTTGCCCCCAATAGTCAGCGATGGCACCAGCTGACTATACCGGGACGTCGGAAACCACAGCCACTCGGTCTTGGATGGGTTGAGCCTGAGCCTGTTTCTCCCCATCCAGATCCGTACGGCCTCCAGGCACCGGGACATCACTTCAAGGGCATCATTGGGGTGGTCTGGGGTGGAGATGTACAGCTGGGTGTCATCAGCGTACTGATGGTACTCCACCCCAAAACCACGGATGATCTCGCCCAGCAGCTTTACATAAATGTTGAACAAAAGGGGCGAGAGGACCGATCCTTGTGGCACCCCACATATAAGGGGCCTCGGGGTCGACCTCTGCCCCCCTGTCAACACAGACTGCGACCAGTCAGAGAGAAAGGAGGAGAACCACCGTAGTACGGTGCCTCCCACCCCCAACAATTTGCATGGCAAATTGTGAACTTCCCATTTTTAAAAAAAATGTATTTATCTATTTGGCTGCCCATTTCAAACATATGATTCTGGGTGTAATAAAATATAAGATGAAAACATAGCAAACAAATATAGGAACCAAGATAAAACCAACAACTAAGTCAATGTAACTAAGATACAGGTACAATCACATCTTAATTTTTTTTTAAAAGAAACATTTTTTGAAGAATTTAAAATTCTTTTTAATTTAGTTAGAAGTTAAATAAAATCAGATGTGACCCGGTGTGCTAAATACAAAAAACCCCCTATCAATGGGCCTCCTGATAATTTAGTTAATCACAGTTTGTTGAGAAAACTATAATTCACTGAGTTCACTTGACAGACATAACCAAGACTTAAGCCAAACAAAATAATGCTTTCTAGCGATTTCAAAACATATATAAACCAGAACCATCCAGCAAAGATGTCTGGAAAGTAATAAAAAGATTAAGACACTATTTTTCATGTTCTCAATCTTTCCCGGTATAATTCAAACAAAATACAAAACGGGGAGAGAAAAAAATCCACAATACCTGACCGACATGTTATCCCATGTCTTCTCTTATTTTTTCTTCTGTTATATATTCCATCAACCACAGCAAACAATATTATTTTCCATCTGGTGGATGCTCTTATTAGTTATTTGGATTTTTCAGTGCCAGCAGGATACATGATTTATATTCTTGAACAACTGTGTATAATTTTTCTGTGGCTTGGAGAACACTTTCTAGACTTAAAAAAAGAAGTGAATAATCATGTTCTTAAACAGTTACAAGAATACAAGTTTTTGCCAACCTGTGTGCTGGCAGAGACTACAAACCACTGGTACAGAAAGAAAGCACTACTGATATCCCTGATAGAAGTTATCTTAGTATGGGAAGCTCCAGTACATTTTAAAACTACCATGTTACCAAATCAGATAGAGCTGTCTACAGTGGAAGTGGGGAGGAGAATATCAAAAATATCAGGGTGGCAGCTATAATCACAGGACCAAAAACTAGTCACTTTTTACATGTACCACACACATAAAAAAGGAATGAGGATTTCATTGTGCACTTGTGACCATCTTGACTTTTTAAATCCTCACTGCAGATAACCCTGAAGTCAAACTATTGGTCCATCTAGCTTGGTACTTTCTCTATACCTGCTGCTAATGTTTTTCAGAGTATCCTTAATTCTTTCTAGCCGAAGGTAGAAGGTCTCTCTCTCTCTCCCTCTCGCTCTCCCCCCCCCCGTTCCCTCTTTCTCTCCCCCTCCCCAGAGCAGAAAGATGGTTAAACATGCTATCTCTTCCTGAGCTATTTTTCTCTCCAAAACTGTACATACCTAAAAACTTCTAATGGCAAGTTGATAAGCTCAGCTGTCACCTTAATTAGTTCATCAGGTAGTAGCTGGCAGCTACTACCTGAAATTGACAAGACCCCAATCAGTTTCACACTAAAGATTTTTGTTTTCCTCCTAAGGGCTGATGGCAAGAACACTAAGTAAACAGCTGGCACTAGCACCTCATTTCAATGTGTATTTCCCATTGTGTGTCTGCTTATTCTCTTGTAATCCCTTCCTCTCCAAGGTATTGTAAATACAAATATCAATTCTTTTCTTGCCAATTATCTCAGTGCTAGGATGAGCATTCCAAAGGGTAGGGAATGGACAAAAAGAGTTATAAGAATTGCCCTTTTATCTGACTTCCTCGTGATTTGAATTCTAAAAAGCTTCCCTGCTATAGAGTTCACCTGGCTTTTTAGGTTATATTCTTCAGAAGTTGTAAAGCTGAAGTTAAGTCATAAACACAGTCACATTGGACCTGTCCCAATTGTGGTTGCTAAATGAGAACTACATGTGTGAATATACAATACCAAAAAAGAAAAGAAAAGAAAAGAAACCAAAAAAAGTGTTTAATTCAATTTTGGCACTGCTTGACTCCAGAATGACTCTGGGTAGCTCACAATGCAAAACAGAATGCAGATATAGTAACATAAATAAATTTTAAAAAAGAAATAATCCAATGGCAGTGCAGACAGCAATATACACACAAATACACACACTCACACACAAATCAATCACCTCTAAGAAAGTGGGGTTTACATACACCTTACCTCAAGGCCTGGAAAAACGTTCAGGTCTTTTATAAGGCCCCCCTGAAGACCGCCAGAGTGGGAACTGTCCTGATCCCAGGAAATATCATTCCAGAGGGTAGAACAAGTCTGGTATCCAAATTGAGAGCTCATTCTATGCCATAATGCAGCTTGCTTAATTTAGACTTGACATGTCATAAATCCAATAACTCTGGTTTGCAGAGCACTGTTTGCTTTTTAAGAAGTATTTATTAAATATTTTATACCGCTGACAACCACATCCTGTCAGTGATTCGTAATAAAATCATAGCTCTATACAATTTGCAATTCATTCAACAAACTAGTTTTAGCACCATGTGTGAACTATTCCCCAGCTTTGAGTATACTTGGACGTTCATCTAAACCTACTCTTAGACTTCTGCCTCTGAGCTTCTGGGTGCTTAGATCTTCTGATCTAAGATGCTTTGCTGTATGAACAAAATCAACATATTCTCCATTCTCTCCCTTCCATCAAGGTGTTTTTTCATATTCAAAGCAAATGTATTCTGGCAGTTGACACCAAAGCCCCAAACCTTTCTCCTGATTTCCTGATAGAGTATGTCTGGCAGTAAAGTGCCATAATAATAAAATACATTGCTTACAGTTTGCCCTTCTTCCATGACACCTCAAATACATTGCCAAACTCTGCTGCCCAGGGCAACAATCTTAAAGATAAAGCTTGCCCTGAATTATTCAAAATATAAAGGGTCTTTTTTAATCAACCAAGAGTCTGGTGCCACTTTAAAGATTAACTATTAATAATGGCATATACTTTATGGGCCAGAGCTCATTGCATCAAATACACACTCAATAGCAGTGAGAAGGAAAACAATAAAGTCAGAAGAGCAATAGGATTGTGAATTCATGGGCATTTCTAAAATTTTCGATCTGTTGGAATGGTGTAGTCTACCTTTATTTAAGTCTCAGAGGGAGAGACATGAATGTTACATTATGTTATATCCCTAAGCATAGGGTTTTACATAACCCTTCTTGGACCCCTCCCTCTCGGAGAGGGGGGAAATTTCTCTATTTCTATGAGAGATGTTTTATGATTACCACCAGGGGGACAGTATGTGCTCAGTTTAATCTTTTGGGGCAGTCATCAGACATACGATATGTAGCTACATCTTATTCTATGACAAGGGTCTTCAACCTTAAACACTCAAAGAGCCATTTGGATCCGTTTCCCACAGAAAAGAAAACACCAGGAGCCACAAAACTCTTCCCGTGCCTGACTATTTCCTGAGCAGCACAAAACTAGCATCTATAGTTGAATTAAAGATTATGTTTTCTTCTGAAACTTTTCTTTTCTTGAATTTATCCATGGTTGGCCTAGCGGGGGTTGAAAAGCTTAATAAATTGCGCATTGGTGAGTTTCGCACATTGGCAGTTGTGATGCATATTTTGAGCGACAGGGAGCTGCAGCAGAGGGACGAAAGAGCCACATGTAGCTACAGAGCCGTGGGTTGCTGACCCCTGTTCTATGAGGTTCAAGCCCTCTCCTGGGAACTGAATTCATGGAGTAACTGAAGATGAGTGCATATAGCACATTTGGAGTTATACAGATCCTGGTGGCTTGGCTTTCCAGTTTAGCCCAGCGTTCCCCAACTTTTCTGGGTTGGCAGATCCAAGCCAATGTAATCATCCTGGAATAAAGGAGAAATTATTGAAATCATCCACATGACTCCAGACAGCTGCTCCTTATGAGGCCATAGACTGTGGAAACTGCAATTTTTATGGTTGGCTTATCAGTGGAGGGGCTGAGAATCAGGACATCAAGTCAATTTTTACAAAGCAATATTTGTGGAATTAAGCTTGACATTAAGATTATATCACTTTTTTTAGATTTAAAAATTTGAATTTACATATTGGAGAGATTACAACCTTTTTGTATTGGCAATGTATTACTGTATTCCTTCAGTGAGTTTCTGTCTCCTTAAAAGACAATGATTTGAATTTGATTTTCAAAGTTATAAAAATATATAATTTTTGGAGTATGCGACATAAGAACACTTAGTATATGGATTTCGGGAAGTTAATAAAGGATTAAAGGGCCAGAGGGATTTACAATTATAGTTTTGAATTATTTAGAAGATACTTTCTCATGGGAAAATGGAGATTGCTTTTGGGGTTTTTTTATGATAAGGAAACCTTAAAGGCTGAATATTAAAGTAAGGGGATCAAGAAAAAGGAGCAGGAACCATTAGGATTTTTGTTTTAAAACAGATGACCAAGCAAACTACCTCTGCGACTTGTTAAAGTTCTGCTAAAGTTCTGATGTAGCATTTGAACCTCATTTTCCTTATGTAAGAGATGAGCTAAAAGGAGAAGATTCTGAAGAGAGATTTATTTACATACAGTGATAAGTTACAAAATTGTATTTACTGCTGGGGTGAAAAGGAAAGTTAATTTTTTTTCTTTTTCCTTCCTTTTTCCCTCCTCTGTTCCCCTTTTTATTTCCTTTTTTGGTATTTTTCTGTTTGTATTTTTTGTAGTTTCTATTGGCTTTTATTCTCTTCATTTCTAATTGTTAATACAATTATCTAAAAACAAAGAACAAAATGTACCAAAAATCAAATGAGTTTAGTATAATGCATGAAACATGTCATAGTGTCTGCTAATACTAGAAGGACATGAATTACCTATAGGGTGGCATTCATATCTGTGGGGGGAGGGGGAAACAAAACACTTATGGATACTTTAGAAGACACACAATTAGGAATTCATTACTAATAATTTAGAATAAAATTAAAAAACAACACTATATACAAATCCCGTCTTGGATCTCTCCAGAGGAAACTTTAACACACCCAAATTTAGTAGACTGGACAAAATTAATTAGAAATAGAGACATAATAAACAAGAGGGGAATATTAAAAACCAGAAATGAATTGGAGCTGGACTTAGGAAGAGAAGTGCAATGGTGAACGTATCTACAGATAAGTTCAAAATATACAGAGGATATAAAAAAAGATCAGGTTCGACTAGAAGAAACAGAATTAGATAAAATCATATTAGGGAATGAACGAAAACTAATAAGTAGATTATATAAGTTTCTAATACAGTATAAAATGGAAGAAGAAATAGTGAAAGACATGATGATCAAATGGGCACAAAATATTAACCATGTGATAGAATTAGAGAAGTGAGAGAAGATGTGGAAAACGAACATGAAACTGACAATTGCGACGGCATACAAGGAAAATCAGATGAAAATGTTTCATAGATGGCACCTTCCACCAGCCAGAGTTGCGAAAATGTTCCCTACCAACTCCCCGAAATGTTGGAAATGCAAGACTGGCTATGGAACATATTACCATCAATGGTGGACCTGCACGATGGCACAAACATTTTGGAAGAAAATTAAAACCTGGATAGTAGAAATAATTCAGAATCCAATAGAGGGAAAACCGGAACAGTTTCTGTTAGGCATTTTGATAGAAAATTATACCAAAGAAATACAGTACCTTCTATTGCATATATTGACAGCAGCACGTATTGTATACGCGCAATATTGGAAGAAAGAAACAGTACCAACGGAAGAGGATTTAATTAAAAAAATCCTGGAATGTGCAGAATTCTATAAATTAACTAAAGAAATTAAGGGGAAAGAAGAATCAAAGTATTATAAGGTCTGGAGTAGATGGTATGAATGGTTGAAAAATAAGGAAATAAGTTAAATGTATGAAGAAAGGAGGGGGAAAATGTGTATGATCTTTTGTTAGTAAAGAAGAAATGATATGAAGTAAAAACGAACGTCAAATAAGTTAATACTTAAATATCTGTAAATATTGATGTATAGAAAGAATAGACCGCTGTATATAGCTGAAAAGAAAGTGATATTTTGTTTTTTGTTGTGTTACTTCTTGTTGTTTGTACATGTTTGATTTTAATGTTGTTTTAATGTGTTTAAAATAAAAAACTTTTTAATAATAATAAAAAAAGAAACATGTCATAGTGTCCTAAGACTCCTTCTCTATATGTATAACATGTTAATTAAGAAAGAAATCAAACTGGGCATCATTTCAAGACACTGAAGGGGAAGCAAAATAACAGGTGACGGCAGCAGCAGACATGGCACTTGTACCTGTAGCTCCTCTTTAATAATTGGTTGACTATGGAATAAAACCACTTAAACAAATAGCTTTTAATGAGACAGATCACCTTGTCCTAGGAGGACTGGATAATTCTGCCTGGCTATGTCACACTTCTATATCCTACACTGCGCATAGCAGTGTGACACTATCTAGCTGTGTTTTGCATCTGCTGCTAATTGCAGCATGTGGTGGGAAAGAGGATATTTGCAACCACCCTGTGCTTCAATCAGGTGCGAAGCTTTACACTCCAGCTAAGTGAAAGTCATAGGCGTAAGAGGAAAAACTGACACAATGTCCCCCATCCCCCCACCTTTTGAGCCAATTCAGGGATGTCATTAAGCTTTTAGTAGGTGTCCAAGGTATATCACTTAGTGTATCAAAGTTGGTTCTGATTCTTCATGTCTTCATTTTGGACCTGGCCTCATATGACCAGAGAGTTACCAGAATTCAAGAAGCAAGATATTAATTCAGTTCGTGCAATTATTCCCAAGCAACTGATCTAGAAGCTCTGAGCTTTTCCAACTCAGATGAAGTATTCTCATCTCATCTGTGTGCCACCAGAAAACTAAACCAGCATATACTTTCTGTCCTCACTAACTGCCTCTGTTTTAGCTTCAGTTAAAGGACTCTGTCCTCGTTTCCTATAGTCTTCACTGCTTTCCATTCTTAGCATCATTGCTGTGATCGTCAACAGTTTGACAGGTGGCTATACTCTTAGTACTTTTTCTTCACCTTACTCACCATTTCTCCTAGCCTGGAGATCAGCTGTTTCACTTTGAAGAAGTGGCAAGCCAAGGAGGAGAGGAGACTTTAAATGAGGATCTAGAGACTGGAATCACTCTGCGGATTTTACAACCCAGGGAATGGTTGACAGACTGAGAAGGAGGAAGAAGTTTATGTCCATTGGTCCAGAACCAGTGAAAGAATCCATGGTAGCAGTACTACACAACACCCCTGATCTAGCAAAACACACTAAGATCAAAATACCTAAACCATGAGTCTCATCAACCTCTACCTATGTTCAGTTTGATGGACAAATATACCAACAAATCAGCAGAACACCCATGGGATCACCACTCTCAGAACTCATAGTAGAGACTGTTATGCGGCATCTAGAAACTATAACACTCCCATACATACAACTGAAAGTATGGGTCTAGTATGTAGGCAATAGCTTCACCAAGATAAAGAAGAAATAATTAAAGAAGATACATGAAACAATCACATCTTCAAAGGATTAAAGTTGACAAGGAAAGAAGAAAACAACACACTCCCCCAATGAAAGAATTACCAAGGAGAAAACCATACCTCCAGCAACATTGGCAAGGCAAGCTGTTATATATAAACAGGGAGCAAAGCTCACACTTTGGAGTGGTGCACTGATGATGTTCACTTGTCAGGTAACAAAATGTCTACAAGCAAACAAAAAATTTCAGAGAGCACTAAGAATTCCAACTTTCAACCATAAACTATATATATTCTCTTCTATTAGAATTTGCCTTTTCCACAGCTGCTGTAAACCGAATTGACATTTTCATTGAACAATCCACTTTAATCTCAAATTCTCTTTTCTAATCTGTCACTTGCCTTTTCTGACCCCCAAAGATTGATATTTTCATGGCTGGTTTCAGCTCATTGACTATTGATATTAACAACTGGGGTAACTGTAATTAACAATTGGGTTAATTATGTTTAATTGTAAACAGGCCAGAGAGGCTTTATGAATGAGATGGGCAGTCTCCAAATGTGATATATAAATAAATAAAATAAATACATTCCCGAAGAGGTAAATATGTTTGCAGTAACATAAAAAAAAAAAAAGAATTTTGGTGCATTTTAAACACATTTGTTTAGCCATAGGCCATTGCAAAAACAGTCAATACTGCATAAACTGTGAATAATAACTACCATCAATAGGAAAACCAATGAATGGAAATAAAATATACCTCTTTAAGAAGTTAATAAATCCTGGAAAGAATTTTCTCTTACTTGCAAGAGCGGCACACAGATATTTAATAGCATGCGCTATGTTAAAAAATACCTTAATAAAAAAAAAAGACTTGTGGACTTCTTCCTAGATATTTTATTAAGAGCAGTACTAGACACTAAAATGGCGCTCATAGTTTTACAAAAATCCCAATAGTAAGATATGAATGGACATATTTTCCATTCTAGTCTCCCCCAACAATACCTACCAATACATGAATCCTACTAATGGTTCCTGTCAAACTGGACACTTGTATGTAGAACTACTGGTGTAACACTGGAATTATAAGAAGTTTCTTTTATAACAAATCAGACAATTTGTTTAGTTGGATTGCTAAATGATAGTGGTCATGCATGGCATATGTTAACTTTAGATCAGTCTCTTATCTATATCCAAAAATGAATGGAGTTCTCCAAACTAGGTTAGAAGTACCAGGGATTGACCCCAGGTGGTCATGCAAGGCATATGCTAACTTTAGTCCAGTCTCTTGTTTTTTTCCATCTTCTATACCTAGACATTCAATTCCAGTTTCATTCCCAATGAAATTCCAGTAGAATACCTTACGAAAAAACTTTTCCTTAATAGAGTAATCAGTGCAAAATGGTCCAGTCACAAGTCACCATTGACCAAAATGTTAATTGGAGAGATTGTTCACCAATATCCCAGTAGTATTTCTGATTCATTCCAGGTTATATTTGTCTTATTTCTGGATAAATGGGCACATTACCAAGCAAACCTTGACCGAAGTGATGCGCCATGCGTAGCTTCTATAGATGCTATTCTATGCTTTGTTATTTCCAACTCACATTTTAAATCACAGGATTTTTAAAAAAGTTTTTGAAGTTTTAAATTCACAATCCATCTAAATGCAAATCAATGGAGCACATATTTCCAATTCACAGCAGATACTAGTTCTGGGCCAGGTATAAGATTTACTGCTTTTTTTTTTAATGGGAAGGATGATTTCAATGGGATATTTTGGTCATGGCAAATTCAGTTCTAGCTCTGGCATGCAATATTAAAAGTAGTTTACCTTTCCAAGATTCTTTCTTTTCAGGCAACCTCTTAGGCAGTGAGGTGTAATGGTGATGGTGATGGTTTAGAACCTGCTCTGGGTCAAGACCACCTTTAACCATAAAAGCTTACTGAGTGACTTCGGCCATTGCTCTCAAGCCAACCTTCTCACAGCCTTGTGGTGGTGGTGAAAAATTAGGAGCAGGGAGAATTTCTTCATCTGGGGAGAAAAACAGCACACAGTAAACATTAAAAAATAACCTACAATATGAGATTCCTGCAATGTATTTTCTAAGCAACAGCGCTAGTCAACATTACAGGGGTGTTGCATGCTTCTTCAGATTCACTCCTTAGCCCTCCCCTCTCCCAAATGTGTAGCAGGGTTTATAAACATTAGATTACATTACAAGGATAGTTGTAAATCTTTTCTCTAGCTCTGCAGAACTATTCTGAATGAACTACACTGTAGTTCTCCTGGGAAACATTTTCAAAGCAGCAACTCCCCTTTTTCCTTGCAAACCGAGTTCGTCGACTGCATTCACTCCAGAATTTATTTTTTACCAAAGCTAATCTTGTTTTTCAACAAACAAAACCATTTTAATTTTACACACAGTAAATCCTCCATTAGCAAAGATGCATTTTGTCCTGGTTATGCATTTTAGCTTTAGAGAAAGATGGTAATTTCTATGGCCAGTTATCTTGGTCTCAGATGCCCATTTTAAAAATAATCCATTTTAACCTCCTTCAAGGAAGCCTGAAACATTGTTCTTCTCCTCACCCCACCACCCCCAGGCTTTCGGATAAACTGGCTGGCAGGCTCCTGTAGCATGTGAAAGGTTTTTTTGTTTTTTTTTAAAATTCTTCCCTTGGGGCAAGTGCGCGCGTGTGTGTTTTAATCTATTATATAGGGAGGTTTTTTTCCTTCTGTTTTTCACTTTATGAAGCCAGTCTGAATCACTTGCTAGAAGTGAGATTAAAATAAAAAGTACAAACCAACAACATTCCTAATTGAAAAACAGGGAGGGGCGTTCTGTAACCAGTCTCTCCCAACGTGGAGTTGGAGTTTGGGTGGGTCAACTGGATGGGCTCCCTGGGCGGAGCGTTGCAACCTGCACACACCTACGGTGGGGTGGGGAAACAATTCACGTGAGGTCAAGCAAGGCCGTTCCAGAGAAAGCGACGCCTCGCTCTAACCTGCGCGTCACTCTGTGGTCCCCGTTCTACGCTCCCCCGCCCACCTCTCCCCTCCGGCTCTTCTCTGCCGGCAGCCCGTTTCCAACTGCCTTCCAGGGATTCTCCTCCCCGCCCTTCCCCCGCCCGCCTCCTTCTCCCTCGTCCGGGACTCCTTCCTTCTTTCCTCCCTCCTTCTCCCCCTTTCCTCAGCTCCTGCTTGTCCCTCTCCTCCCCTCTCCTCCCGGGCTTCACCCCACCAACAGCTAGCTGGCGCCCCTCTTTAACCACCTTTTCCTCCCCTTGCACCCCATGCCTTCTTCAGCGCCCCAAGCCTTCAGCTTCTCTTCTTTGCCCTTTCAGGCTTCCTTTGCCTGCCTGCGCTTCTCTCCTCTCCCCTTGCACATCTTGGTGACTCTTGGGGCCAGGGGTCTCTTGCCATGGCTGAGCAGGGCTTAGGTCCCAAGTCTGAGCGGGCCAGCAGTGGTTCTGCTGGGCCAGAAAGCCCTACCTCTGCCAGGGGCTCTAAGGTTTCCTTTTTCTTGAAAAGTACCTCAGATTCAAGGCCAGTTCCCGAGAGCTCACACAGGATCTCCTTAATGTTAAATGCCTCCCCGGACTCTAACACCTTCTTTGCTTTTAGCAAGTCGGGATCTGATGCCTCTGAGATAAATCCGCTTGACCGGACAGAGAAAGATTCTTTCTCTTTTCCCCATCAGGATTCTGTTGCCACCAACTCATCCATTCTTTCTTTTTCATTAATGCATTCCGGCTTGCCACGCTCCTCCAGAGATGAGCAAATGCTTAAGGACAGAGGAAATATAACTACCTCCTTTGTGTCCGTTACCAAAACAGCCTTACCAACCGTCCCAGAAGCCAGGCCTGCTCATAGGTTAATACCGCATCGACCTTCTCCTAAAATTTCCTCTATCCCTGAAAACATCCAGAAACGTATACTGCCCTTTTATGTAACCCTGGAACAGCTCAAATCTGTGAAGAAGTCAATGGGGGCAGCCTTGGAAAAGGGCCTCATGCAGAAGGACAAAGTAACCAGTTACTTACCTATGTTGCCAACGTATGTTTCTGCTTTGCCGGATGGTAGTGGTAAGCATGCTTTGCAATTTCATAATTATGGATTTCCATCCTAACTCAAGGTCATCAATACCGTGTCCACTGAGACACACACACACACACATATATACACACACACACACACACATTTTAATTGAAAATTTAAAATGATACAGATGTAAGGTGTTCTCACTTGAGAGATCTCACAAGGAATGAGTTTGAATGTTGCATTACTATTTATTGTTTTGCACATACCCCTGTATGTGAAATTGCACAGTGGTATAGCCTTCTCATAATTTGCTCCCAACATCCTATCTGATAATATTCATCACTACAGGGAAGGCAACTATTGAATAGGTATGATTAAGGCCCTGGAAAAAAGTCAGATACCACGAGTTTTTATTCTGCTGTAAAGATGGAAGCCAGCTGAGGGACAATCAGTTTCTCTCAGATCAATCCACCTTACTGGAGTAGGAGTACTGCACACATTGCTTTGAGTTGCACAGAAATGAGTGAGATACTATTCTAATGAATAAATGAGCCTGATGTATAGGTAAGAGTCAATGTTTGCCTCCATGTTCTTGCTGGAATTCTAACATCTAAAGTTGTATCCACATAAGTGGGAACATGCACATAATTCCTTTCCCCAAACAGTATTTTTCCCTGCTTGGAGTTGTGGGGAGAATATAAATTATGACCATGAGATTATTATTTTTTTATCTAGTCTTTGTTTGTTGAGTCTGCATACCACTTATTCTCTAAGGCTGTAGGCAGATTACAAAGTCAACATAATAAAATAATGCCCCTGCTCCAAATTCACATAAAAATAAAAAGATCAAAAATGATGGTCCCGGAACGCCCAGATCTGCTAACCTGCGCTTTAACTGCAGTTAGTGATGTTTACTCATGAGCAGCTGGGCTGAGGCAACAATTCCTAGGGTGAGGATAAAGGTCTTGGTCTGTGCTCTGGGTTCTTGGGTTTGTCCATAATAGGCAGAGGATTCATTAATGTAGTACAGTTATGCAGAATACAGTTTGGAAAAATTCTGCCACCTCCACATAATTCTTGTTGAGGGTAGCTCTCCAGTACTGTAGAGAAGCAGTTTCTTAATGACTTCACACTGAAAATGCATATGATTATCACAAAAGCAGACTCTGCACTCGAACCTCTTCAATGTGTGAAGCACTGTGGTAAGATTAGATTCCAAGGCTTTATTTATTTGTTTGTCATTTGTATAAATTGTAGCCAGATGGGCAAGTGATGAAATTTCTGCAATATGGGTATTATATAATAATACCAGGTTGTCTCTGCTAAATGTCTCTGCTTATGTACTTTCATAAATTGCAATTTATGATGGTCATCAAAGATGATCCATGTAGAACATACTACAGGTAGTCTACCCACGAGGTGATAAGGAGGTGAGAGACTATAGCCAGTACCTCCTATTTCAGGAACATTTGCAATTGGTATACAGGTAGTCCTCAACTTACAACAGTTCATTTAGTGACCATTCATAGTTACAATGGCACTGAAAAAAGTGACATATGACCATTTTTCAGTTACGACCTTTGCAGCATCCCCATGATCATTGATCAAAATTCAGATGCTTGACAACTGGTTCATATTTATGACCGTTGCATGAGAGCACCTTTTGAGACCTTCTCACAGGCAAAATCAATAGGGAAGCCAGATTTATTCAACAACTGGGTCACTAACTTATCAACTGCAGTGATTCACTTAACAACTGTGGCAAGAAAGGCTAAAATGGGGCAAAACTCACTTAACAAATGTTTCACAACAGAAAATTTGGGCAACAGCTGCCTGTTTTGCTAACTCTGAATCTCATACATGCCTCTTTCAAATTTCAGGCATCAAGTCAAGAGTTTCATTGTATTTCCCAGGTAGCTAGGAGTAAAAATGTAATTGGGTATCATTACCATATTGATGACACCTAACACAATCTGTTGGATATTAGACTCCAACAGCTTCATGTAGATATTAAGTAAGATAGATAGCAAAGAAGGTCGAGCCCTGAGGAACCCCATATTGGAATACCTGGAGGCTTAATCCTTCTTCCCCATATATTATGACAAAAACCACCGATTTAGGAAAGAACTGTTGTACTAAAGAAAAGAGCTCCCGGTTTCCAAATCCAGTCTAGAAGGATGCAATGGTCAACAGTAAAGCGACCAAAACATTTAATATGGCTAGTAAGTTTGTATCCCCCACCCCCCATCAAAAGCCTACCATATGTCATCAAGGAGAGCAAACAGTGCAGTTTTTATCTTATGCCTTGGCTTGAATTGAAAATGTTCCAGATACTCTATATCTTCCAGTCTCCTTTGCAATCAATAGTTGTCAGCCCTTCAAGGTAGATCAGTTTAGGAATTTATTTATTTATTTATTTATTTTGAATTTGTATACCGCCCTTCTCCCTGAGGACTCAGGGCGGTGAACAGCCAAGTAAAAACATCAAATACAAATATTAAAATACAGTTAAAATATACATATATAAATTTGGCCCCATTAATTAAAAACAATAAACAAAACACTTAAAAACACTTAAAAAAAATTAGGCCAGCCCGGCTTGCTGGAAAAGGGAGGTTTTAAGGGCACGGCGGAAGGCACCGAGGTCTTGGATTCTCCTTATCTCTGGAGGCAATTGATTCCAGAGGGTAGGTGCCCCCACAGAGAAGGCCCTCCCCCTGGGGGTCACCAGCCTGCACTGTTTGGCTGATGGCACCCCGAGGAGGCCCTCTCTGTGGGAGCGCACGGGTCGATGGGAGATCGTCGGTGGCAGCAAGCGGTCTCGAAGATAGCTAGGCCCTATGCCATGGAGCGCTTTAAAGGTGATAACCAACACCTTGAAGCGCACCCAGAAGACCACTGGGAGCCAGTGCAGCTCACGCAGGAGCGGTGTTACATGGGAGCGCCAGGCTGCTCCCGTCACTACCCGCGCTGCTGC